AAACCCAAGTGAAGTTATTCATCCTTAAACCAAATAGTCTATAATATATTTTAATTATTTGTAAAATGCTTAGTAGTTTCTCCTTGGAACTGACCATAGTAAAACAAACACACAATAATAGTCAGCCTTGTGGAATACCATTCCTATGTCTCCTTAAATGAGAACTATAGCTAAGAAGTCATATATTTTAAATTTAAAACCATTATGTAAAATTTGAATTCATTTTAGCAATCACAGTTAATGGTTTGATTAGCAATTAGTTGTTGAAAGTATAAAATATCCAGTATAAAGGACAAAGAATCTAAAAACACATGCACGGATTCATCTATGATTAAGGGTAGGAATAATGGAGGATTTGTAATATTTACTAATAAAATTTAAAAGTTCATCATGATGGGAATGATTAAATAAATTATTTATAATTCCTATGTGGTCTAGGGAAAACCTTACTGGAAACTAGAACCCCAGAGCCTCTCAGCGAGGACAAGAAGATGAGTACAAGAGCAAGCACGTCACTGAGCAACCAAATCGATGCATTAAAAGCAGAGGAAAGAGCAGAGGGATGTGCTGTAGAGCCGGAGCAAGCAGGTAAAGCTGTCTCACAGTCTGTGGCTTGCTGGGTGACTGCCTGCCAGACTGTACCAATCCAGAGCGGGGTAAGGGCTGGGCCATGAGTCCGTGCTTCAGTGAAAAAGAAGCAGAGCAGGTCACTTTGGGATCTCGAATGTGGTCCTTGCAGCTCTGAACATCAGAGTGGAGCTTAATGATACGGAGGCCTGTCGCTGGTCACCATCTCAAAGGCGTCCTTCCTTGTCTTCTTGCCATATCTTGTTGCCGGTAAACCCTCGATTTCCCTCAAATGAGTAAGATGACAAGGTAGAAGACCTACCCAGCTGACGGCCACACAATAGACCAGTAACGGTCATGTAATCTTTTAATCAACTCATTTAATTTTTTGTTTTGTTGTCTTCGGGGAGGCAAGTTCTACATTTTGCCTTTGTACTTGTGGTTGCTAGTTGCCGTTGAGTCAGTTCCTGTGGCCAGCAAGCTGTTGTCCACTAGAACACTCTCCTCACAATTGTTATGTTCGAGCCCATTGCTACACCCCCTGTGTCAATCCATCTTGTTGAGAGCCTTCCTCTTTTTCACTGCCCCTCTGCTTTACCAAGTAGGGTGTCCTTTCCCAGGTACTC